CAGTGTCTTTAAAATGAAATGAACATGTTTGCTTGCATGAAATATTTATGTTTCTTAGTAACACCACTTTAAAATATTCTAAGTCAAATTTCTTGAAACCTATATATAGACTTCCCCTTCACTTTTACTTTAGTCTAAAGTGGTGAGAAGATACAGTAATAAAATAATGCCTAATAATAAGAAAAAGCATGGAAAACTTCCTAGTTGGAGAAATGTTATTCATCTATAAGAATAACCCAAAATTCCTTGCCTGTTATAAGAGAGGAGAGGCTGGATTGGAAGAGATGGTCTCCAAGGACCCTGCACAGTTTTTTCCAAATACGTGATAAGAAAATTCTAGTTGATTGTCAGTAAAGGGGAGTAAATTACTTCTTAAAATATAACTTTTTAAGCAATCATATTTCTGAATGTTCTTTGTATAGTTGCTATTTATAATTACATTTATTAGAGGTAAACTAGAAAAAAATCAAATTTTGAAGAAATTCTTCCTATATGTCTATAGACAAATATATTCACAAAATGCATCTGCCAACAATTTGACTTAAGAAGGTTTTAACTCCAGGGTGCCTTGACAAATTATTCCCTTCAAGCTGTTTGGTAAATATGTTTCCCAAAAGCTATAGAATAAATGTAGTACATCCATACCAAAAAACAAATAAACAAAAACACACAACAAACAAACAAACAAAAAACACCTGTCCATAGTTAAAGCAGTACCTTATTTGGAATGCTGATGATTTCTGTGCATAGCTGTTAGCTTATAATTCACAACTTTTTAATTCTACCTAAAATTGATTTAAAAAAATGTTATCCCCAAGATACTGAGGTATAAAAAAAAGTTCATAAAATGTAGAAACACATTGAATCTGTACCCCCAAGGAAAAAATAGAGCATTCCACTCACCATCCCATCCCCTCCCCAAGTATCATTACCTGTATAATAATGCAGATACACTTCTTTTCTTTTTCTTCCTTCTTCCTTCTTTCTTCTTCTTCTGAGACAGCATCTCACTGTGTCACCCAAGTTGAAGTGCAGTGCTGCAGTCACGGCTCTCTGTAGCCTCAGTCTCCCCTGGCTCAAAAGATCCTCTCACCTCAGCCTGCTGAGTAGCTGGGAATACAAGCATGAGCCACCACACCTGGCTAATTTTTGATGTTTTGTAGAGATGAGTTTCGCCATGTTGCCAAGGCTTAATGTAGGTATACTTCTTATTGGTGTGAAAATATAAATTCTTCATGTATGTGTAGAATACGAACACTGCTATATCCCTGAGAGACATAGATCTAATTAACTTATAAATATGTCTGGTCTTTAAACTATGTCTGTTCTCAAGTCTACACTCATTATGAAATTGGGTTAAAATTTCCAGAATGTGTTACACATGGGTAAGATATTTGAAAGACATTCTGAGTTTTCAAAAGAGAAGAACCTTAAATTTCTGCTCTGGAAACTGAAGACTGGTTTATGTTGTTTCGTGATAAAAGACTGTGTTTTGTCTGCTACAATTTAGGTTTTGGTCACCAGCAGAGCTCAAAGGCAGACTGTCTCTAAATAAGAACAGATGGGTAGAGATCCTTGCTAAGGCCTGGATTCCAAATCCAAGTAGTTATAGTAGCTTTGATAACACAATTGTGAGGTCACTGAGGTTGTGGTATTTAAGTCTATGCCAAGTTGTAATGTACAGAAAGTCTTTGTGAAAAGCCATCGTTTAGACTGAAAATACTCAGATTCGCTCTCAATTCCAGTGTAGGCATTTTGCTATTGTTGTTGTTGTTGTTACTATTGTTAAATCATTAAATTTTTCCATTTGGAAAAAGTCCAAGAGTCTTCCAAGTGTCTCCACTTGGAAATGTTAAATGACAAAACTAGATCCTGTTTGTAACTCAGTGCTTCTCTAGGATCAAAAAATGATGGATCTGCAAACCAAAATAAACTTGTGAAAATACTTGTCTTACTGTCACCGCAGATACTGGCTTTTAGTAGTTTATTTGGAAAGAAGGAAAACAGTGTTCAACATGACTTACATGATGTGCATCTTTACCTTTAGCATGAACTGTGAGCATCAGATAGGGTCTCCTTTCTTTTCTTTTCTTTTCTTTTTTTTATTTTTCTCAAGATGGAGATGGAGTCTCGCTGTGGCCCAGACTGGAGTGCAGTGGTGCAATCTCGGCTCACCACAACCTCCGCCTCTCGAGTTCAAGTGATTCTCCTGCCTCAGCTTCCTGAGTGGCTGGGATTACAGGTGCCTACAGCCACACTCAGCTAATTTTTGTGTTTTTATTGGAGATGGGGTTTTGCCATGTTGGCCAGGCTAGTCTCGAACTCCTGACCTCAGGTGATCTGCCTGCCTCGGGCTCCCAATCCCCTTTTCTTTTGTTATATGTTGTATATACATATATAACACACATATATATAACATATGCACATATGTTACATGTAATATGTTGTATGTAAAGGCTCCTTTCTTGGTTCTGCTTACTCTACAGGGACAGGATGGGCAGTAACTGTCCATGAAGAAGGACAGATAGACGGAGACAGAGAAAAGCACATCATTGCTTTTAGGCTTTCTCCTTGTGCCAATTCCAATCTCATGTCCACTAAGTTTTCGATTACTTTCTTGTTTGTTTGGTTGGTTTTTCATTATTTCCTATGTAGCCCTGAGACACAGAAATAATTAACCCTCAACACAAGGAACTGATATTGGTTTAGCTGTGTAAACACAGTGATAAGGAGCTATGTAAGTCCCGCTACAAGCATGCAAGAATCCCTAACTGAATTATGAAAACCTGATCGTGACAGACACCACCATAACCTAGCCACTACGATTTCTACTTAGCCTCTGAGGAACTTCAAATGTTAGAGTAATTCCAGAAAGTGGTTAAACATGCTTGTATATTTTTTTAAAATTTGTATGACTTTTACTGTGAAAGTACCAAAAGTTTCATGACAAGGCCTTATTTTTAATTCATTTTTACCAAAAGTTTCATGACAAGGGCTTATTTTTAATTCATTTTTCTTTTTTTTTTTTGAGATGGAGTCTTGCTCTGTCGCCCAAGCTGGAGTGCAGTGGTGCAATCTTGGCTCACTGCAGGCTCCACCTCCCAGGTTTACGCCATTCTCCTGCCTCAGACTCCCGAGTAGCTGGGACTACAGGCACCTGCCACCTTGTCCGGCTAGGTTTTTTTTGTATTTTTTAGTAGAGCTGAGATCACACCACTGCACTCAAGTCTGGGTGATAGAACAAGACGCTGTCTCAAAAAAAAAAAAAGAAAAAGAAAAAAAAAAGAAATTAAAAGAATCCTAGGAAGACATTACCGAGTGGAAGATGCACGTGTTCTTTGTGTTCTTATCGCTTCTGGAGACACTGAGGAGACTTCATCTGGTATGTGTGTCTTAGATGGAGAAGACGTTGATAACATCCATTGAAATGAGAAGTGGGAAACTTGCAATGAAAGAGGGCCAGCACCTGGAGAGAGAAGACATGGTAGTCAAGGGAGATACGATAAAAGTCTTTCTGAACACATTGACATTTAAAATTTACTTACTCTAAAAATAAATGACAGTTCTTTAAATTGAATTAATTCAGCTTTGTGAAAAACTCATTACATTGTTCTTATTTTGCTGTGGAACTGTGAAAAATATAACATGGACCAGCATTTTGTCATCAATGATTTTTACTAAATCACCGAGAGACCATTTTTGTGCTTTGTTTTGACCTATTTACAAGCAATGGAACTGTGGTTTGAAGAAACAGACACCCTTGAAAGGAGAAGGTGGGATTATAAATTAGTGCAGTATTTATGGAGAACCTTCTGGAAACATATATTAATATAAAATGTGCATATCCTTAGACCCAACATATCCACATCCAGGAATTTATTCTCATGGAATGATTGGATGGGTTCATGGGTTCACAGTGATGTATATTCACATGTATTATTCCAACACAGTTTATATTATTGAAAAGTTAGAAACACCTACATGTCCTTCAGTAGGACTTGGCTAAATACATTGTGGCATAGTTACATAATGAGCTCCAATGCCATCGTCAGATAAGTAGCTACTCCTTATCACTAAATAGAATGAGGTAGGCCTATGTATGTTGATATAGGTAAATGTTTCTTACATATTGTTGAGCAGGTTACAGAAATATAATATCGTTTAATATATAATTCTTTTCATTTTATTTTTAAAACAGCTTTATTAAAATGTAATTCACATGATTCACCTCCTCTCTTAATCTGTTTGTGCTGCTATAACAGAATACCGTGGACTTGGTAAATTATAAAAAATAGAAATTTCTTTTTATAGGAAGTCCAAGATCAAGGCAATGGAAGGTTTGATTGTCTGGTGAGGGCTGCCCTTCTGTGTCCTCACATGGCAGAAAAGCAGAGCAAGTTAACTAAATCTGTGTGAAGCTTCTCTTTATAACACCTTAATCCCCTTAATGAGGGAGGATCCCACATGGCCTAATCAGCTCTTGAAGGTCCCACCTCTTAATATTATCACATTGGTAACACCTGAATTTGAAAGAGACACATTCAAACCATAGCACCCATTTAAAATGTACAATTAACAGCCATTACCACAATCTAATTTTAGAACATTTTGCCCTCCGCAAAGAAATGACTACCCATTAATAGTCAATCCTCATTCCCCCCACACAGGCAATCAATAAATCTATTTTCTGTTTCTATAAATTTGCCTATTCCCAATATGAATGGCCTTTGTGATTGGCTTTTTTCACTTAGCATAATATTTCCAAGTGTCATCTATGTTGAAACATACGTCAGTGTTTAATTTCTTTTTCTTGCCGAATAATATTCCTTTGGATGACTGTACTGCATTTTATTTATACATTCATCAGCTGATGGATACTTAAGTTGTTTCCACTTTGGGGGTATTATAAATAATAATTGTGAATATTTGTGTGCAAGTTTTTGCAAGAACAGATGTTTTTATTTTGCTTGGGTACATACTTAGGGGTGAAATTTCTGGGTCACATGGTAACTCTTATGTTTCACTTTGTGAAGAGCTCTCAAAGTGTTTTCTAAAGTGCTACACCATTTCACATTTGCCCAGCAATATATGAGGGTTCCAATTTCTCCACATCCTCACCAACACTTGTTATTATGTGTCATTTTCATTATAGTTATCCTAGGGGATATGAAGGGGTATCTCACTGTGGTTTTAATTTGCATTCCCCTACTGATTAATAATGTTGAACATCTTCTCGTGTGCTTATTGGCCAGTTCCAATGTATTTTTAAAGGTTATGTGAGCAAATACATCTGGGCAATGATATACTAAAATGTTAGTAGTGCTTCTCTCTAGAAGATATTATTACTTTCTACTGTGTTTCTCTATCAATCAAGGTTCTACCAGAGGGAAAGAACCAGTAGGATAGACAGATAGATAGACAGGTAGATAGGTAAATTGTAAGGAACTGGCTGATACAGTCATGAAGGCTGGCTAGGAAAATCAAAATCCATAGGATAGGGCAGGCAGTTGAAAAGAACAGGCTGGAGTTGAAGCTACATTTCACAGGCAGATTTCTTCTTCCTCAGGAAGACCTCAGTTCTACTCTTGAAGCCTTTCAATTGACTGGATGAGACCTACCCAGATTATCAAGGGTAATCTCCTTTACTTACAGTCAATTGATTACATATATTAACCACATCTACAAACTACATTTACAGTACCACTAAGATTTGTGTTTGACAGAATAACTGGCTACTATAGCCTAGCCCAGTTGACACATAAAACTAACCATTGCAATTCTCTTTTATATTATTTAATTATTTTTTACAATAAATCTAAGTCAGCATCACTTTTTTTTTTTTTTTTTTTTGAGATGGGGTTTCCCCATCTCACCCAGGCTGGTCTCGAACTCCTGGGCTCCAGTGATCCTCCCTCCCCCACCTCCCAAAGTGCTGGGGTTACAGGCATGAGCCACCACATCCAGTCTGTATTACTTTTTTAATCAGCAAAAACAATATAGCTTCATTATTATAAATTGTTTTAATACCGTAGTACCTCTACTCTCACACTCAAGGCTGAACTTGTCTATCTTGGTATCCTCCAGAATGCTCAGCATAGTAGCTTTTACCTGGTAGATGCCTATGAGATACTATATTCGTTTTCTATTGCTGCTATAGCCAATTCACACAAGTTTAGTGGCTTAAAACAGTAGTTGCCAACCTTTTTGACACCAGGGACCAGTTTTGTGGAAGACAGTTTTTCCATGGACTAGGGTTGGGGGGATAGTTTCAGGACGACTCAGCGGCATTACATCTATTGTATATTTTATTTCTATTATTATTACATTGTAATATATAATGAAATAATTATACAACTCACCATAATGTAGAATTAGTGGGAGCCTTGAGCTTGTCTTCCTGCAACTAGACAGTCCCATCTGGGGGTAATGGAAAACAGTGACAGATTATAAGGCATTAGACTCTTTTTTTTTTTTTGAGACAGAGTTTCACTCTTGTGGCCCAAACTGGAGTGCAGTGGTGTAATCTCGGCTCACTGCAACCTCCGCCTCCTGGGTTCAAGCAATTCTCCTGCCTAAGCCTCCCTAGTAGCTCAGATTACAGGTGCCCGCCACCATGCCCTGGCTAATTTTTTTGTATTTTTAGTAGAGACAGGATTTCACCATGTTGGGCAGGCTGGTCTCAAACTCCTGACCTCAGGTGATCCGCCCGCCTGGGCCTCGCAAAGTGCTGGGATAACAGGCATGAGCCACCGCGCCCGGCCTCATTAGATTCTTAAAAGGAGTACGCAACCTAGATCCCTCACATGTGCAGTTCACAATAGGGTTTGTGCTCCTATGAGAATCTAATGCCACTGCTGATCTGACAGGAGGCAGAGCTCTGGGGTAATGTGAGTGATGAGGAGCAGCTGTAAATAAAGATGAAGCTTCGCTGGCTAGCCCACTCCTCACCTCCTGCTCTGCAGTCCGGTTCCTAACAGGCCACGGACCAGTACAGGTATGTGGCCCGGGGGGCTGGGGACCCCTGATCTATGGCTTTCTGGGTACTATACAGCCCACCACAGATACTAGCTGGCTAAATAGTCACAAAGCAGACCCTGCAACATTGTTTTTATTTACCGAGAAATCTTGATTCTAACAAAGCTGTTCCCTTTTCACAGGCTGATGTCGGTGTGCCTCGTAGTGGGGAAAACTGCAGCCCCCAGATGGAAGCTGCTCTGACCAAGAATACTGTGGACCCTGCAGAAGGCCTAGAACAAGTCCAGATGGGAAGCTTACCTGGAACCATTTCAGAAAATTCTCCATCTCCTAGTGAAAGAAACAGACGAGGAAATTCAGGTAACCTCCCTCTGCCCCCATTCATGTAGACCTTCACAAAATACTGTTTCTCTAAATACGTCTACAAGGTTTACTTGGTGGTCCTTTTATCATTGCTTTCTGGGCCATGAAGTATGTTAAATGGCAATGTTTTTATCTCTGAAACATTAGAATTTAGCCTTAGGCCTTCATTACGTGAGTCAATAATGTTAAGCATTAATCTTCTTGTCGATGAAGTAATTAAGACCATCTTTTAAAAATAAATAAATAAATAAACTAAGAGGCTTTATTGGGAGTTAAGGCCAGACTTTAGGAATGGGACTTGCACAGTTCCAAGGAATTTAAACTCCCACGATGATAATTTCTTTCCAAGGGAAAGTTCTACATTTACACAAATAAATAAAACCTACAATAAACTGTTTTCCCTGTCTTTCCGCATCCAAAGTATCAGCAAATATACAACAAAAGAATCTTTCAGAAATGTGAAAGAGGTAGTTATGACTGACTTGTGCTATTTAGAAACTATTTGTGGGTTTTCCTGTGTTGTGTTTTCCCTCAACATGAATTACCGCCTGGTGTCAATTTAAGTCATCTTATTTATATTTGGTCAGCCTTTGAAACATATTGAACTTCACAGCCCTCAAGGAAAAGTACTCTTTTTATTTCAGGGGGTAAGACTTTTGCTCCCCACCACTGTTGTTTCTTCTCTAGGTACAAGTTGGGATTGGAAAACAGATGGGTTCATACATGCGATTCTATTTCTTGAACTTTCCTGGCACACTCAGGTTATCACAGATTTTCTATTCGCCCTCCCCTTGCTGTTCTGATGTAGTCAGCGTGACCTCTTAGAATGACTAGGAGGTTGAGGAATGCAGCACAGGAACGGCCTCTCCCTCCCTTCTATGTGTTAGGTTGACAAATACATCTTTTTTCTTTCCAATAATTTTGTTGATGCAACTTCCCTCTAGACAGCAACGTGAATGCTAAATATCAATGTTGGTCACAGACTGCAGAGTGTCAGGCACACAGGGACCTGGTGACCCAGGACAGTCAGTGCTGCCAGGTGTATGTACAATGTTAAAGATGGCATGAAGAGGGTGACAGGTAAGCAGAAAGGTGTTGAGAGAGAACAGCTAGGGAGGAAGTCAGCCACCAAAGCAGATGTTTCTAAAATGCAGTATTAAGGAGTCCTCAGGAAGCATCTTACCACAGAGTGAGTAGGACCTAGTACCCTGAACTTCCTATTTGTCCTCTGCCCAGTTTCCTCTCTCTGTCTCAGCCCTTGGCATCCTCCTCGTTGTGTCTCTGCTCTTCAAATCTGCAGAGTATACTTCTCTTTTTGAGACAGAGTCTTGCTCTGTCACCCGGGCTGGAGTGCAGTGGTGCAATCTCAGCTCACTGCAACTTCCACCTCCCAGGTTCAAGCAGTACTCCTGCCTCAGCCTTCTGAGTAGCTGGGATTACAGGCATACGCCATCACGCCTGGCTAATTTTTGTATTTTTAGTAGAGACGGGGTTTCACCATGTTGGCCAGGCTGGTCTGGAACTCCTGACCTCAAGTGATACACACGCCCCTCAGCCTCCCAAAGTGTTGGGATTACAGGCATGAGCCACTGCACCTGGCCCTGCAGAGTATATTTCTCAAGACCATCAAGTTTAACACTAACATTCCCCAAGTGTTTCCTTTTTTAAAATATTTATTTCGTATATTTTCAGAGTCAAGAAAAGGTACAAAAAACAAAGAACACCTATATTCTTTCACTGAGATTCCCCAAATGTTAACCTTCTGCCACATTGCATTATCGTATCCCCCTTATACAAGTAGATTTTTTTCTGTTAATAAGTTAGACATAATGGCACTTTGCTTTCACATACTCCGCTGCGTATTTCCTAAAATCGAGGACACTCTTTGCATAATCTCTGTACAAGGATCAAAATTGGAAAATTACCCTTCTTTTTTTTTTTTTTTTAAGAGACAGAGTTTTGCTCTTGTTGCCCAGGCTGGAGGGCAATGACGCGATCTCAGCTCACTGCAACCTCCGCCTCCCAGGTTCAAGCGATTCTCCTGCCTCAGCCTCCCGAGTAGCTGAGATTACAGGCGCCCGCCACCATGCCTGGCTAATTTTTGTATTTTTAGTAGAGATGAGGTTTCATCAGATTGGTCAGTCTGGTCTCAAACTCCTGACCTCAGGTGATCTGCCCGCTTCGGCCTCTCCGAGTGCTGGGATTACAGGCATGAGCCACCACGCCCAGCCAGGAAATTACCTCTGATGTAGTACTGTTATCTCATCTATAGATCATATTCAAATTTGGTCAATTGTCTCACAACTATTCTTTATAAATGAATTTCTGATGCAGGATCTATCTAATCCAGGATCACATTTTTAATTTAGTCATCTATGGTCTTTAGTCTTTTTTAATCTGAACAACTCCTCAGTTTTTCTTAGTCTTTTATGAACTTGATATATTTGAAAAGTATAAAACATTTATTTTGCAGAATGTTTATCAATTTGGGTTTGTTTGAGCTTTCCTCCTGATTGGATTTGGGTTACGCATTTTTTTTTTTTTTTTGGAGATAGAGTCTCGTTCTGTCGCCCAGGCTGGAGTACAGTGGCGCAATCTCAGCTCACTGCAACCTCCGCCTCCCAGATTCAAGCAATTCTGTGTGCCTCAGCCTGTCAACTAGCTGGGATTACAGGTGCCCGCCACCACACTCAGGTTTTTTGTTTGTTTGTTTGTTTGTTTTTAGTAGAGACGGAGTTTCACCATGTTAGCCAGGCTTATCTTGAACTCCTAACCTCAAGTGATCCACCTGCCTTGGCCTCCCAAAGTGCTGGGATTACAGGCATGAGCCAGGGTTACACAATTTTAGCAAGAATACCAAAAATGATATTGTGTCTTTCTTAATACATAAAATTAGGAGGTACATTATATCTATACTCAACTCGTTATGTTTATGGGGAGTTTTGTTTTGCAAAAGTCATTTTAAATCTAGTAACATTTATAAATGTTTAAAATTTAATTTGGATTTTGAGTCACAATTAGAAAGCCTTTCCCTACACCAAGGTTAAAGATGAATTCACCCGTGTTTTCTTGTATAATTTCACTTTTTACACTTATGCTTAAGAAGAGTTTCCAGTGACATCAGAAAATGCTTATATAAATATTAGCTAGATAAGAAATGAAACTGTATGTTCAGTATGATGTCGAACTTATAAAAATAAAATTTAGTATATTAACAATGGTAATCTCTGGGTGGTGAAAGCATAGGCATTTTTTTAAATCTTTTACTAGTTTCTGTATTTTCTAAGTTTACTACAGTAACTATTACTTTTATAATCAAAAGAAGCACAACATGGTTTTTAAACAATCTCCAATATTCTCCAATGTCCCAAGAAAGCATGAAAATTGTTGAAATGACTGACATATTCCAGGAATCTCTGTATAAGTTAGCTGCTGTAAATATCAAGCCAAATTCTTTAGAGAACTCCAAAAAGAATGGATCGCAATGGTTACAATGATTTTATTATGTTAGCGACAGATGTCAAACATGACATTCCTTTTAGAAGCATCCTGGGAGAGAAATGAACCACTGACAGTGGAGCTGCTTACATGACGTATTTGGGAAAACACTGGGACAGTTGAGAGAGTGAAGGTTGGAGCCAAGCAGACTTAGATTTAGCCCTGTGTAACACACATGCTACCTGTGTCACCATGGTAAGTTAATTAGCTTCTCTCACATCAGTGTTTATTTCTAAAATAGGGATAATAATAGCACTCTGAGTTGATGTTTACATTTGATGTCATACAGTGTGTCAAGTACTTAGTATAGTGCAGGTGCCTAAGTGCTCAGTAAATGATCATTATTATTATTTTGACCCTTCCAAACAAGGCCACCTTCTAACCAAAAAAATCATTCCAATTCCTTGAAGGGGATTCACTTCTGACCTTTTCATTGAAATCTTCTCCATTGTTTCAGGTTTCTAGTTGACCTCCCCGTCTGACATGTTTTACTACCCCGTGCCAAAATCTGTACAGAGCACTTTAAAATCAGAAGCAGCTCTATTTCAAACACTTGCAAGAGTAGAAAAAACAGCACTAGACAGATATTGACAGGAGGAAAACTGTTGGAGTTACTTGCAGTGGCCAATCCTAGAAATCTCTTATACCGGAGAGGTTAATATGCTGAAGTGAGAGACATCTGATTAGTGTGTGTGAGTGTGTGTGTGTGTGTGTGTGTGTTTTCTATCTTCCCAGCACAAATTCATGAAAGGTCTCACTGCTAACCACTGAGATTAGAAATTTTCGCCGGGCAAGGTGGCTCATGCCTGTAATCCCAGCTCTTCAGGCGGCTGAGGTGGGCAGACCACCTGAGGTCAGGAGTTTGAGACCAGCCTGTCCAACATGGTGAAATCCCATCTCTACTAAAAATACAAAAATCAGGCATGGTGGCACACACCTGTAGTCCCAGCTACTTGGGAGGCTGAGGCAAGAGAATCGCTTGAACCCAGGAGGAGGAGGTTGCAGTGAGCTGAGATCTCGCCATTGCACTCCAGCCTGAGTGATAAGAGTGAAACTTAATCTCAAAAAGGAAAAAAAGAAAGAATTTTTTATGGGAAGATGCCATCCACTAAATGGAATGGACTTGGTTACATCAGGACTTCCTGATGATGACAGCATAGAAGATAGCTCACTTCTCAGGACTTCCTATTGCACTGTTACAGATAGGAAAAGCAAAACTGTCTTTGGCCCAACAGGCCAGCGCCGTTTGTTTCATAATGTGATGGCATAACCGTGGCTGCTTATTTGCTTGTTTATGTAATTGGATGATTTGTGATGGGGGAGCCTCTCTCATTAGTGCAGCTTATAAAGACTCCCCCATAAACTGTTTCAGTGCTTATATTTAGAATCATGAATAAAAATTTAGCTGATATCACTCTAACTCCAATTCTGATTTGGTTCAAAGACTCTTTTCAAAAAGGCACACTTTTACTTATGTAGACTTAGCAGATGGCGTAATTATAAACTTAGGGTTGCAGAACTAGAAGTCTCTTGGCAACATCACGCTGTTTATCCTTTGTATACAAAGCGTGGAAACCAAACCACAACTCAAAGAATCACCAAAAGAATATCTGATTCTTAGCTGTGGTTTAGCTTCATAATTACTCGAGCAAACCAACGTCGTCGTACCCAAGTGTGTAAGTGTTGTTACCACAAAAAGGCAGTCCACAGCAGCACACAGAAAGGCTTTTTGTTATCTTAATATGTGGTCTGCTAAGTAAACAGTATATTATGTTGATGTGTATCCTCTGTAAGAATATGAAGTATCTGAACTTCGAAGGATTACAAAGACTTATAATAGAAATATATTAAGTGTTGAAGCTAAGATCTAATTAAGCAGCATGGTTTGTAAGGCATCCATTTAGCATTTGATTGAAAAAACCTTGATTCTTAAATTTTGCTTTCTTTTTTCTTTTCCTCTTTTTTGGAAGATCTAGTAACCAATGGATTAATCAATAAACCCCAACCCCTAGACAGTCGAGAGCGACAGAAGTCATCAGATATCCTGGAGGAACTAATTGTTCAAGGAATTATACAAAGCCACAGCAAAGTATTTAGAAATGGAGAATCATATGATGTCACGGCAAGTAATTTTGTAATTAACATTAGCTTATAGTTAAAATTAGCAATAGAATATAATGGATCATGAGTCATTATTTCCAGCATATGCAAGTTACAATACAGATAACAGCATTTATTTAAGTCCCTTAAATTCCCCCCACACCTCCACACACCATCTCATATGGTTTGGTTCTGTGCTCCCACTCAAATCTCACCTTGAATTGTAATCCTCAGGTGTCAAGGGTGGAACCAGGTGGAGGTAATTGAATCATGCAGGTGGTTTCCCTTATGCTGTTCTCATGATAGTGAGTGAGTCTCACGAAATCTGATGGTTTTATAAGTGTCTGGCATTTCCCCTGCTTGAATGCATTCTCTCTCCTACCGCCTTGTGAAAAGGTTCCTTCCACCATGATTGTAAGTTTCCTGAGGCCTTCCCAGCCATGTAAAACTGTGAATCAATTAAACCTCTTTTCTTTATAAAGTTATTATAAATAAACGTAATTTATAAAGAAAAATACCCAGTCTCAGGTATTTCCTTATAGCAATGTGAGAACAGACTAATACACCATCCTTCTTTGTGGACGCAGGAATTGCTCCAATTATTAATGATTAATTGATCCAGTAAAATGTATATTGGGTTTTACTAAATTTGAGAAACAATAGGCCCCACTGAATAACATACTTTCATTCTTTCAAATGTTTTTCTTGAGCACTACCTATGTAATAGGCATTGTGCAGGGCATTAGAAATGTAAAACTGAATCTGATTTATTCAGTAAGAAAATAGACCCGACAAGTGTTTGAGGTGATGGCTATGCTAATTACCCTGACTTGATCATTACGCATGTATCAAAACATCATACTGTACCCCATAAAGATATACAATTCCATGTCCATTAAAAATAAAGTAAAACTTTAAAAGAGAAAATAAATAGGCCTAAATGCCAAAGCTAAAACAAATATGGCTGTACATTTATCCATATGCACACCCCAAAATCAAACATGAAGAATTAAATAGAATTCTAGAAATTGCTGTACTATTATTTTTCTTTGTTAATTTATCCTGATTAATCTGTCATAGTTTTTCCTCAGCATGAATAATATTTTTACTCTGATTTTAACTAGCTTGGCTAAAGTCTAGAGTTCTAAATTTTTTTTTTTTTTTTTTTTTTGAGATGGAGTCTTGCTTTGTCACCCAGGCTAGAGTACAGTGGTGCGATCTTGGCTCACTGCAACCTCTGCCTACTGGGTTCAAGCGATTCTTCTTCCTCAGCCTCCCCGGAAACTGGGATTACAGGTGCCCGCCACCATGCCTGACTAATTTTTGTATTTTTAGTAGAGATGGGGTTTCGCCATCTTGGCCAGGCTGGTCTCGAACTCCTGACATTGTGATTCACCCGCCTCGGCCTCCCAAAGTGCTGGGATTACAGGTGTGAGCCATTGCGCCCTGCTCTGACTGAGTTCTAAATTTTTAAATAAATTCTGTGGAAACCTGTGAAGAAGATAGCAGACTTAGTTGTTGCTGTTATTTTGTTTTGTTTTCTTGTTTGTTTGGGTTTTTTTTTTTTAAGCCAATGCTCCCAGGCACTCCGAGTAGTCCTTACAGTACAGGCAGAAGAGAAAAAGTGAAAAAAAAAAAAAAAAGGAAATAACAGTGAAAAGAAGCCAGAGAAAAAAAAGAAAAAAAAAGAAAAGAAGCCAGAGAAAAAAATGAATGAAAAAGTAAAGAAAGAAAAGGAAATGGTGGAAATAGAGATGAGAAATTACCCAAAGGCTACTTAATGGTTGCCTATCCCTGTGTTGTCGGGCAAACAGTCCATTAGGAATTAAAACTCATTATTTAAATCAAATTTGCCACCTAGACTGAGTTACTTAGTGTTTGAATAAAGTTAATTTCCTTCTTTGTGTATGGGGAATGTTGAGAACTCATGAATAAAAGCCAAAGTGGCATTTTCTTTTGAAAAAGGAAAATAAATCCTGCAGAAAGTATTTGGGAGAAAGGAAAGGAGATTGCCAAACCTTGTGAATAACATTATCAGGCTGCCAATAATAAGAGGATGTCGGGGGGTAGGAGGAGGGCAGAAAGGAAGGTAAAAATGGATTATATAATGGAAAAGATAATGCCAACATAATGACAATTTACATTTGCACAACGCTATCATGATACAAGGCATTTTAGAGTGCCTTATCTTATTTGAAACTACTAGAAGAAGGATGGGTTTTTAATATCAAAGGGGAGAGGAAAGATTTTTTCTAGCTGTAGGTCAGTCTGTAGGGGTCAGAAAAAAAGAAAATGTGTCAAAAGAAAAAGGAAAGCAAGTTTGAGAGGAGGCAGATAGATTGTGGAAACATTCAGTAGCTAAACGATGTCTTCTTAAGGAAAATGCTACAGACACTTCGATGTCTACATACATACGCCAGTAGGAATCACATTAAAACGTTCTCCGTGATTCAATTGCCAGAGATGAATGAGTTCTGACTTAGACTTCGCAAGGGAGCCTGCAAGGTTAATTAATATAAACTACCTTGTGAAAGAGATGCACCTTTAAAAAAATAATAACTATGGGCTGGACTTTTAATAGCATCATTAAGTGAACCAAAGATGAAGACTATTTTTCATATTATATAGGCATAGAATGGTTGTTGGGAATGTTCTCAAAAGGATTTAAATGTAACAGCTTTCAGGAATGGCACAATTTTGTTTTTTTGGCTTTGGTATTAGGCCAAGATATCCCAGCATAAGCCAGTCTTGCAACAGACCAGGCAGTAACACACAGCTCTCTTGTTCTATCGCCTAATCCAGTGGTCCTTAACCTGCCGGTACATTGGAGTCACCTGGGGATATTTCAGACATCCCAGTGTCTAGGTACCACTTCCTACCACACAGCCTGGGCGTGTGGCCCTGCTTTCACACTTCTGAAAGCTTCCAGGCGATTCCCATGGGCAGCCCAGGTTGAGAACTACTGCCCCGAAGTTTCACCAAAACCCTACACAATGCTCCCAAATTCATTACCAAAGCTGGGAAGGGTTAAAGCATTTGAAATCATTCTTGATTCCCTATTCATTGTGAAAGAGAATTCTGAAATATTCCTGAAAATATACCATTTCAGGAATAGGAACTAAGATTATACTCAGGAAGCCTAAGGAAATAAAAGAGATGCAGTTTCTGTGTCACAGATAAAACTTCTTTCAATTCAGGGGTAACTGAGAACATATGTGTGTCAGACACCAGGTGTCTTGCATATTTTGGGAAGAGTTATGAGGCCAATGTAAAAAGATGAGAATGAATATTGAAGGACTGAGAGGGGAACTGTATTAAGAATGGAAATATTATTAGATAATATTCATCATTAATAATATTAATACTTTGAATATCTAATATTTAATAAGTTTTTCAAACCCAGACTGATAAAACTGGCTAAAAACAAAACAAGAATTCAAGGGAAACAAAAAAGGGATAGTCAATAAAAAGATACTATGTCAGCAGTTACTACAATGTGGTGAATCTTAACAGACATGTAAATATTATTTCTTCATTGCTCTAGGGGAAAACATTCTTTTAAATAAAATATTATGGGAAAATTGAATAAATGCGAAAATACTTTGAGTCTCATGCTCTATCAACTGAACTAGCCAAGCAGCCAAGGAGAATAATTTAAAAATAAGACTTCTTATGTGGAACAATAGTGTATTTAAATACGAGGGCATTTCAGACTTAGATCTGGCTGCTTCTTAGCCAGGTCATTATCTTTCATTGAGTTATTTAGAGTGAAATTGAATAAAGGATGTTGAAAATTGAGGGTTCACCTTCATGAAGGTCCCTCTTCCGAAGCAGGGGCATCCCGCATAAGCTAGTCTCTCCCTAGAGGTAAGGAGAGGATCTGTGTCCACCACAGAGCCCCCTTTGTCTTTTTTCTTAATTTTATTTGTAAGCTTGCTAGTGAACACCACAGTAATTTCATAGTACTCTCTGGATAACCATCTTTCAAGAATGTTTATGCTAGAATATTTTATGTTTACTTAAGAGTTAAAATCAGGCTGGGCTAGGTGGCTCATGCCTGTAATCCCAGCACTTTGGGAGACCAAGACAGGCAGATGGCTTGAGCCCAGGAGTTTGAGATCACCTGGGCAACATGGTAAAAACCCATCTCTTAAAAAAAAAAAAAAAAAAATTAGCTGGGCGTGGTGGCGTGCACCTGTAGTTCCAGCTACTTAGGAGGCTGAGGCTGGAGGATCACTTGAGCCTAGAAGGTCAAGGCTGCAATAAGCCGACATCATACCACTGCACTCCAGCCTGGGTGAAAGAGCGAGACCCTGTCAAACAAAAAACCCAATTAAAAAAAAAAAAGGGGGGGATTAAATGTGCTAGGCTCACATTTGTAATCCTAGTGCTTTAGGAGGCTAAGCTGGGAGTGTCCCTTGAGTCCAGGTGTTCAAGACCAGTCTGGGCAACAGGGTAAGATGCCATTTCTAAAAAAAAAAAAAAAAAAAAAAAATTAAGAGTGAAAATGATATGTAAGAAATATAAGATTAAGAAGCTAAGTATCAGATTGTTGAGTGAATCTCTCAGTGTATTTTTAAACATTCTAATGAGACTTAAGTGACTATATTGTAAACAAACATTGGTTTTATGTACACCTGTCAATATGTGTATGGATTGCTATAGACCTCCTTAGAGAAATGTGATTGGCTCTCATTTATCCACATAGGTATTATTGAGTTCGTCTTTTATCCCAAATTCATTTCTCCCTGCCACTTAGCACATCATGGGTCTCCCTACCTGAGGCCCTGTGAATTCACTACTGACCTCTGTGTCTGGTAACGTTTATTCCCTTCTCTGTGCAACTTCTGTACTTGGGAACCTGAAGTGTAGTTGGAAGGTTTGTTCACATTGCATAAGAGTCTCTAACATTATTTGTTGAACCTCACAGAGAGTTTTTAAGGAGGAGGAAGTTGACTGAGTTAGGACTCAGTAACACCAGCTAATGATCAGAGTGACCTTCCCCAGGAGGCCTAACAGTGACAAAACAAGAATGAAGGATCTTTTGCAGGACTGGCCTGTTCTATCCACAAGACTCCCTTAAGGGAACAAAATGAAGACAGGTTCATACGTAGGTCAATAGTTAACTAAGAAAGCTCTGAGGAATGCACAGTGTATGTAAGAAGCAAAATATACAAGTTAGTAGCTAGAAACAGGACTGTAATCTAATTGTAGCATTTTGAACTTGGCAGTCCTCTAAAAGTATTCTTTAAGAAAATAATTGAACTGGTAACTTCTGTAGGTTGATTTTGTTGTGGCCAATTTGTTGTTTCCACTGGTAACACCTCTCTAAGCATAAGGTGATCATTGTTATTATTTTTTTTTTTTTTTAAAGAGACAGGGTCTGACTACATTGCCCAGGCTGGTCTTGAATTCCTGAACTCAAGCAATCCACCTGCCTCAGCCTCCTAAAGTGCTGGGATTATAGTGTGAGCCACTGCGCCCGGCCCATTGTTAACATTTTTAAGTGCCAACATTTGATAAATTCTGACTTCATAAAATTCAATTGTAAAGGATACAGATATCTTTCTAGATGATTTTTATTTTTTTACCTAAAATGTGGAATTCAAGAAAGAACATGGCTTGCACAGGTAGGATTAACTTCCTCTATGGGGAGGATCATTGTAGGATTAAGCCACGGGAAGAGGTGACCAAAACAGAAAAATTCAAGTTCTCTCAGAACTCCTGATCTCAGAATTTTAGTCAAGGTTCAGGCTCCTATGTATAGCCTAATCTGGCATTTCTTCAGTGGATCTTGGATTACTACTTAATTTTCTTTTAGCCTTCTACGCATGAACATCCCTAAAAAATCATTTTCTTGCTAATTTCACAGTATCTCTAGTTGAGCCACCAAAGCAAGTATTTCCCTCTTTTCAGCGGGTGGTTTTTGCCAGCAGGAAACTCAAGAGCCAATTGTCATAAAAATAATACAAAATGATGATGGGAGAGGGAACTTGCTTTGACAAACATTCCACGGTTTTCAAGTAGTGAAAAACTTTGCACCGCATAAACCGTCCGATGGGTCTAAAGGAGCCAAAATGTCAATACGTGTTTTTTCTTTGGAAGACTTTCTAAGAATCATAGATTTTAGAGCTGAAAGAAAGCTTAATAGGCCTCCACCCCCTTGCTGCTTCACAGTTGAGAAAACTGAGTCCAAAGAGAAGAGCTGCCTGGGTCTCCACTACACGCTGGGCGTTCCTGCTGCCTGATGGTCTCCCCCCGGGCTGCAGGCTCTGCTTCCTCCCCTCTGTGCTTCGGTCCCTGTCCGCTTTGTCCTGGTTATGAGTTTGTGTTCTGCCTTTGGAAAAAGTCACTGCTTTGACTGAATGAAAAGTAGCTATCATTTGCAGAGTGGCTACTTTATCCTTTTCTTTCTTTTTTAAAACCAATCCCAAAATATGTATTATTAAACTTATTTTACAAATGAGGAAACCATAGATTGCAGAGTTTATGGAACCATAGAGAATCAATGCACACGCTGGGCGTGGTGGCTCACGCCTGTAATCCCAGCACTTTGGGTGGCTGAGGCAGGTGGAACATCTGAGGTCAGGAGTTCAAGACCAGCCTGGCCAACATGGTGAAACCCAGTCTCTACTAAAAATACAAAAATTAACCAGGCATGGTGGCACACACCTGTAACCCCAGCTACTTGGAAGGCTAAGGCAGGAGAATCGCTTGAACCTGGGAGGCGGAGGTTGCAGTGAGCCAAGATCGTGTCAATGTACTCCAGCCTGGGTGACAGGGTGAGACTCGGTCTCAAAAAAAAAAAAACAAACAAAAAAAGTCATTCAATAGTCCAGCCAGGATTCAAACCCAGGGATGACTAAGTCTCGGTCTGGTACCTTGTTTTACTCTGCGCTAAACTGCCTCTCTTTGTTTTATTTTGTCGGTACCTACAGCATTATAGTCTGGAAAAACAGTCTTTTAGAAATTACAATGAATATTAATAGCTCCTTTGTCTTTAAAAAAAAGTCTTTAGAGAAATTATCTAGAACAATATTCAGTTCATTTTGTAATGCAGCCTTGGAGTTAACCACCCCCCACCCAGTTGTAATAAATCTATATTTATATAGAAAGATACCCGTATTAAGTTAATTGAAGAAAGTGAATTGCAGAGCAGTGTGTATAGTATAACTCCATTTAGGTTTTGTTTAACATTACAGATATCCTTAACATATCTATATGTGTATATATATGTGTGCAGAGCAGATATCTGAGAAGACACACACTAAACTCTTTACAAAGATTCGTGCTAAGGACTGGGATTGGGGGCCAGGTGGTTAAATAGAGGATAAGGAGATGATTTATGTATCAGTTATATTTTTTATAATCCATCTATATTATCTTAAAACCAATTTTTAAAACAAAAACATATACATTGAAACTTTCTTCATAAATAGTTTATGACAATTTTACTTATTTTGGAACTAGAAATTATAATTAGAAAGGCATTATTACCACTTTGCACTGTTAAAAGGGTAGTTGATCATATGAAGTGAGATTTTTTTCCCTTGCTGTCATGAAAATGTTTGTCAAGTTCCTCCAGCAAAGCCCAGCACAGAGTTGTTGTTCAGTAATCGTTAATTATCTCTTTCTGCCACAAAACCAGAAGCAATGAGAACTAATCTCTACCCCAGAAGAAAGTAACTTGTAGTGTGTGGAATATTATAAAATCATCAGGTTGAACTCTTCACCTTGAACTACAAATTCAGCCCCATTCTCCACTGCTTTTCATCTTATATTCATTCTCAAGATTTTTTCCTTCTAAGGGGTCATCTTCTATGCAGTCTAAGAACACCTGCATTCGTAGGGCCTTTTTGTAATAGCCTGGTGCTTGTAAGGTATTCAATAGATCTTAGCATTATAATTCTGTTGTTACCAACTTTCACATTGTTGTTTTTTAAATCTGCCCCTGAAAAGTTAGATTTTTAGAATTGACTTCATTCATTCATTTATTTATTTATTTATTCATTTTGAGACAGGGTGTCACTCTGTTGCCAAGCCTGGAGTGCAGTGGCGTGATCTTGGCTCACTGCAACCTCCAGCTCCTGGGCTCAAGCAATCCTCCACCCTCAGCCTCCCAAGTAGCTGGGACTGCAGGCACACACCACCACACCTGGCTAATTTTTTGTATTTTTGCAGAGACAAGGTTTCACTATGTTGCCCAGGCTGGCCTGGAACTCCTGGGCTCAAGCAGGCTTCCCACCTCAGCCTCCCAAAGTGCTGGGATTACAGGCATGAGCCACTGCACCCAGCCTAGAATGTACATTTTATATCGTTTATTCTCTTTTGCCGTTCTCCTCTGCCAGTGAATATGATTGTTTCTTCATGTAAAAACAAAACGTTTTTATTCCAGTTGACCACGACTGAGAAGCCATTGAGAAAGCCACCTGCCAGACTGAAAAAACTCACGATCAGAAAGCAAGTGAAGGATTTCACAATGAAGGACATCAAGGAGAAGATGGAGGCCGCCGAGGAGCGCAGGAAGGTACTGAGCTCTCAGATGCTCTAGGCTTGAGGAGTTCGCTGTCTGCTAAAATGATCTCATGCCAGACCTCTCCTATCAGCAATTTTAAGACAAATTGCATGGATCTATAATCAGTATTTTTTTTTATTATTTTACTAATTTTTTTAAGAGACAAAGTCTCACTGTGTTGCCCAGACTGGAGTACAGTGGCATGCTTGGAGCTCACTGCCACCCTGAACTTTTAGGCTCAAGTGGTCCCCCTGTCTCAGCCTCCTGAGTAGCTAGGACTACAGGCCCATACCACTACATGAGGCTAATTTAAAAAAAAAAAAAATTTGTTTAGAGATGGGGTCTTGTTATGTAGCCCAGTCTAGTCTTAAACTCCTGGCCTCAAATGATCCTCCTGCCTTGGTCTCCCAAAGTGTTGGGATCACAGACATGAGCCACTGTGCCTGGCCTATAGCTAGGATTTTAATGATCTTTATGCTTTTTATTATATGTTATATGTTTAGTGGTTTTTTCTTAAAAATTTCCTTTCTGTTGTAAAGGAATAAATCAGGTTGGGTGAAAATTACAGTTGCATCCATATAGCCTAAGTAAGCAACATCCAATTCTTGGAATTAAATGAAGTATGGAGCATTCTTCATATGGAAAAAGAGAAACTTCAATAGAGGCTGGGGGCAGGAGGAGAAGCAGGGTTGGGGTGTGGTGTTAAACTGAGAGAAACCGCTGCAGAGCATCAGGCTGCATTACTCCTACTGCATTTTCACCAAGGGCCCCCATAGCCCTCCACGTGCTCTTGGCCAGACCCAGCCTTCACAGCTGGGTCTGACAGCCTTTGTTTCCCAGCTCTCTAATTGGCCTATCAGAGAGCAAGGACCAGACTCCAAGCTCCATGAGGGCAGGCCCCATGTCTGCCTTCTTCAACAAGAGTTTCTCAACAAATGTTTGTTATATGACTGAATAATGACATAGAGAAGCCATGAATGTTCAATACAAGCAACATCAATCACAACTTGTAGAAAGTTATTCAGGCTCTTTTTCATTCTTTAATACTGCATTTCAGACCAAAGAAGAAGAAATAAGAAAAAAGTTACGGAGTGACCGACTTTTGCCTTCAGCCAATCATTCAGATTCAGCTGAACTAGGTGGGGCTGAGGTTGCATTTGCCAAAGGACTTCAAAGGGTGAGATCTGCTGGATTTGAACCATCTGACCTGCAGGGAGGAAAACCATTGAAGAGGAAAAAGAGTAAAAGTGATGCAACCTTGATTGATAGAAACGAAAGTGATGAAAGTTTTGGGGTCGTGGAGTCAGACATGTCCTACAACCAAGAAGATGACATAGTCTACTAAGCCATTTTTTGTGAATTTCATAAGAAAGCATCCATTCTCCCCATTTGTGACATTTGTAGTGTGTCTCATATTCTTTGACTGACTGACCTCATTCCACTGGGATTTCTGCCTTGGGCTTAAGGATGATTATGTGGGTTGCATAGGCTGAAGATCAGTTGAGTAAATTAAGTAGCTATGCTAGCTTTAAAAAAATGAGCGAGGGGGAGACTTGACCAGCATAGATATTTGGCACTCTCCTTTGTGTGGCTTCAAACATTATGGAGATGTCTTTAATTTATAAGTGCCTTCAGCTTACATGAATAAGTTCGTGCCAAATGAAATCCTTCCTGTTTACTCCTGCCTTGTGGCGGGGTCCATCTTCTGCTGGTCCTTTAAGACAAATTGCATGGATTTGTATTAAGTATTTTAGTGGTTTGTATGTTTTTTATGCTGTATGTCTATGGTTTTATAAATTTTTTTCTCCGTGTTGTGAAGGAATAAAGCAACGTCTTGAAGTTGGTTGAATTACAGTTTTATCCATATAGTTTACGTTAGCAATATCTAATCTCAGAATTATATAAAGAATGGAGTTTTCTTCTTGTGCAAACAGAAGAACTTCAGTTGAGGCTAGGGGTGGAAGGAAGGAAGTTGTGAGGGTGGGGATAGACTGGGAGTCAGCCTGCTACCAGTGTCTGTCTTCCCTGCAGACATGCTGAGCTGAGAAGCTGCTGGTTCTCATCTTATTGTCAATATACCTTGGTTCTTTCCTCCCTTACCACTCACATTCAATCAATTATCAGGTCTTATGATTCTAGATGCCCCCCTTTTTTGTTTTTTTGTTTTTTTGTTTTTTTTGTGGAGATAGGATCTCACTTTGTCACCCAGGCTGGAGTACAGTGACATGATCTTGGCTCACTGCAGCCTTGACCTCCTGGAGCTCAAGCGATCCTCAAGCCTCAGACCTCCAAGTAGCTAGGACTACAGGCACACATCACCACACCTGGCTAAGTTTTTGTAGAGACAGGGTTTCATCATGTTGCCCAGGCTGGTCTCAAACTGCTGAGCTCAAATGATCCACTCACCTCACTTGCTTGCAAACACATATCAAAAGTCAGTGAGTGGCAAGTGACAATGAAGTTGCATCTGGTGACAGGCTATAGAGTGGCAAGTGAGTCAATGTACTTCAATTGTACAGCTGCATCTGGTGGCCTTGAAAGTATGTTTGAGGCAACGTCAAATCTCCGTATGTTCTGAATTAAAGTCCAAGTGGAATATCCTGACATTGCCACAAAAGCACTGAAAAACCTGCTTCCATTTCCAGCATCCTATCTTTGTGCAGCAGGGTTTTCTGCAGTGACAGCAAACAAAATGAGATTATGGAGTAGACTGGACATAAGCAACACATTTCAGATGTCACTGTCTCCCATCACCCCAGATGGGACCATCTAGTTGCAGGGAAACAAGCTCAGGCTCCCGCTGATTCTACATTACGGTGAGTTGTATAATTATCTCATTACATATGACAATGTAATAAGAATAGAAATAAAGTGCACAATAAATGTAATGCACTTGAATCATCTTGAAATTATCCACACCCCCTCCCCCACGTTCATGGGAAACTTGTTTTCCACGAAACCAGTCCCTGGTGCCAAAAGGTTGGGGACCTCTGTTGTATATGTTCCTATAGCCTGTAGGACTTCAGACACCTACAGCCAGTGAGGTATGATGGTGGTGGTAGAAGGGGGTAGAGGGGCTTCTTCAAAACTCATTGCAGAGCCAAAAGCTTTAGAGTCAGTCTACTTCTTACAGTGTGACCCTGAGACATTCAGGCTCTCTGTATCTCGATTACCTTACATGTTAATTTGGGATAGCCACAGTCACAGAGTTGAATCAAATGAAATAATGTGTTTAAAGATACTGTGTACCTGCTTGCCTGGTTCAGCAGACTGAGTTGTCCCACCCCTTCTATGCAGATATCTTGATTCAGGGGTGCCCTGTCCACTCCATGCCCAGACAGCTCTCCAGGCATTCGTAGCACCCACTCACCTGGAACAGCAGCCTGAATCACCCCACCCTTCCTGTGCAGAGATCTTGGTGCAGAGGGGCCCTCTCTACTCCCAGGCAGATCTTCAGGCATCTGGAGCACCTAATCTGCATTAGGAATTTGAGCCAACTCCCATCCCTGTGCAGAAAACTTGGGACTGAAGAGGTTTCCCAGCTCCACACCTAGGCACAACTCTGGATGCTTGGTGGCCACCCACTAGATTATCCCTCAGAGCTTGTGCTTGTGTCTGCCACTGGAGAATGTGCAGGCAAACCTGCCTGGTCTGGCCCCACCCATCATGGCCCCTGCCCCTGCCCCCTCCAGGGTTGCATAGGGGAGCTCAGACCACTGCAAATTCCACAAATCACCCCATTGCCTAAGGCAAGAGAGAGCTTCTGCAACAAACAAAGATCAAGTATATACACAGCCATATTGGCCACAGCTGGGTCCTACCTACAAGCGCCATCTAAGGGCTTGTAGGTCAAACTGCACAGCCCAATATAAAACCTGCTGAAAGAAATGCATAGGGCTATAGAAGCAAAGCCAAAAGACCCTACACTGTTGGGGTACAGTACAGTACCCCAGTAACAGGAACTGTACAGGGAGAAGGGGGAAAGGAAATGGAAAGAAAATATATATATATATATATATATAGTAGGAAAAGAAAGAAAAATAAAAAACCCTATCTTCAGGAAAATAATAACAAAAATTAGAAGTGCCAGTATCTCCAGATGAGAAGGAACCAGCACAAGGATTCTGCACCATGAAAAATCTGAATATAGTGACAAACAAAAGGATTGCACTAGCTCTCCAGCAATGGTTTCTAACTAAAATGGAAACTCAGAAATGACAGATAAAGAATTCAAAGCATGGACTGCAAGGAAGCTCAATGAGACACAGGACAAGATCGAAAAGCAGTACAAAGAAACTTCTAAAGCAATCCAGAAAATAAAGGAAGTGATAAACATCTTAAAAAGAAATCAATCAGAGCTTCTGAAATTGAAAAACTCAAGGAATTTCAAATACAACTGAAAGCTTTATCAATAAACTGAATAAAGCAGAAGAAAGCATTTCAGAGCTTAAAGGTTGGTCTTTCAAATCAACCCAGTCAGACTAAAATAAAGAAAAAATAATTTTTAAAAATGAACAAAGTCTTTGAGAAATATGGGATTATGTAAAATGGCAAAACCTATTAATTACTGGTATTCCTGAGAGAAAAAAAGAAAAAAAAATCCTGGAAAACATATTTGAGAGAATAATTCAAGAAATTTTCTCTAATCTTGCTAGATAGGTAAACATCCAGATACAAGAAATCCAGAGAACACCTGCATGATACTATACAAAATGATCAACAAGGCATATAGTCACCAGATTGTCAACATTAAAAAAAAAAAAAACAAAAAAAAACTTAAAAGCAGCTAGAGAAAAATCCCAGATCATGTACAAAGGGAACCCCATGAGGCTAATAGCAGACTTCTCAACAGAAATATTACAAGCCAGGAGAAATTGGGGGCCTATTTTCAGAATTCTGAAAGAAAAGAAAATCCAAACAAGAATTCCATATCCTGCCAAATTAAGCTTCGTAAGCATAGGAGAAATAAAATCTTTTCCAGATGGGCAAGCACTAAGGGAACCTGTTACCACTAGACCAGCCTTACAAGAGATTTGTACTGGAATTCTAAACATGGAAATAAAAGAACAATACCTGCTACCACAAAAAGGCACTTAAGTTGACACAGACCTTATAACTACACAATAGAAACTGGAAAGCAACCAGCTAACAACTTCATGATAGAATCCAAACCTCACATAACAATATTAACCTTAAATGTAAGTGGTTTAAGTGCTCCATTTAAAAGGCACAGAGAAGCAAACTGGATAAAATAACAAGGCACAAGACCTGTCTATCTGCTGTCTCAAGAGACCCATCTCATACATAATGACACCCACAGGCTCAAAGTAAAGAGTTGGAGAAAGATCTACCACAAAAACAGAAAATTTAAAAAAGAGCAGGGATCACTATTCTTACATCAGATAAAATAGACTTTAAACCAACAATAGTAAAAAAAGACATAGAAGGACATTACATAATGACATAGGATTTAATTCAATAAGAAGTCTTAACTATCCTAAATGCATAAGCACCTAACATTGGAGCATCCAGATTTATAAAGCAAGTACTTCTAGACCTATGAAAAGAGTTAGACAGCCACACAATAATAGTAGGGGATTTCAACACCCCACTGACAGCATTAGACACATTATTGAGGCAAAACACTAACAAAGAAATTCTGGACTTACATTCAATGCTTAATCAATTGGACCTAATAGATACCTACAGAATGAACACATTACCCATCAACCACAGAATAGACATTCTTCTCATCTGCACATAGAACATACTCCACGATTGACCACATGATCAATCATAAAGCAAGTCTCAATACGTTTAAAAAAATTGAAATTATACCAACCATACTCTTGGACTACAGTGGAATAAAAATATAAATTGATATCAAGAGTACCTCTCAAAATCACAGAATTACATGGAAATTAAACAACTTGCTCCTGAATTTCTTTTGGGTAAACAAAAAAATTAATGCAGAAATCAAGAAATTCTTTGAAATAAGTGAAAACAGAGACACAACATACATCTGTGGGATTGCAGCAAAAGCAGTGTTAAGAGGAAAATTTAAAGCATTAAATGCCTACCTCAAAAAGTTAGAAATATCTCAAAAATGATCTCATGTCACACCTAGTGGAACTAGAGAAACGAGAACCAACTAACCCCAAAGCTAGCAGAAGAAAAGAAATAACTAAATCAGAATGGAACTGAACAAAATTGAGACCCAAAAATTCATACAAAGAATCAATGCAACCAAAAGTTAATATTCTGAAAGAATAAGCAAGATCAATATATGGATAGCTACATTAATAAAGAAGAAAAGATCCAAATAAGCAAACTCAGAAACAACAAAGGTGGCATTACAACTGATCCCACAGAAATACAAAAGATCCCCAGAGACTATTATGAACAACTCTATGCCCACAAACTAGAAAATCTAGAGGAAATGGATAAATTCCTGGAAACACACAATCTCCCAAAATTGAATCAGGAAAAAATTGAAACCTTGAACAGACCAATATCTAGTTCCAAAATGGAATCAATAATAATAATAGAAAAAAACTACCAACCAAATAAAGCACCAGACTAGATGGATTCACAGTGGAATTCTCCACATGTACAAAGAAGAGCTGGTACCAATTCCACTGAAACTATTCCAAAAAATTAGGAGGAGGGACTCCTTCCTAACTCATTCTACAAAGCCAACAATTAAAAAAGAAAACTACAGGCCAATATTCCTGATGAACATAGACACGAAAATCCTCAACAAAATACTAGAAAACCAAATCCAGTAGCACATCAAAAAGTTAATTCATCATGATCAAGTAGGCTTCATTCCTAGGATGCA